TAAATCCAGCAGCAATTATAGTAATTCTGTATTTGCTAAAATAATTCCTGTAACAGGCAGCGAGAGTTGAATTCCAAAAATTAAAAAAAAATAATATCCCTACATCCTTAATAAAAGCAGATATCAAAAAAATATATACACCAAGCATACAGTGTTAAAATAAAACTAGTGAATGTAATAAAAGATCCTATAAAGATTATCAAGTCATAATACTTACTACAGGTCTGGTTTTATCAAAAATTTCCATTATAATTTTAAAACCGGCTCCTTCACCAAGTAAAACATTTTCTTTAGGTACTCTCACATCTTCAAAGACAAGTCCTCTTGTATCTGAACATCGCTGGCCCATATTTAATTCCTAATGAGGAAAATAATATATACATATTCAGGAACATTTTTTGAACTCGCATGAAATTTTGCTTAAGCCACTGTTTATGACTTTCTGCAACTGTCTGAAACAGGAGTCAACAAACTACAGCTTGCAATGCCTGTTTTCCAAAGAAAGCTTTATTAGAATACAATCACACTTATTCATTTACATATTGTCTATGGCTACCTGCTTGCTACAATGGCAGAATTGAGTAGCTGTGATGGAGACCATATAGCCCTCAAAGTCTCAAATATTTACAATCTGGATCTTTACCAAAAAAAGTATCAACCCCTAGACTGAAATAACGTTTCATAAACTTTGAAACCAACACTTGTCTAAAGGTCTACTGTTAATATTATAGCAGACTGTTAATATTAAAGCAGACTGTTAATATTAAAGTACTTGGAAGCAGACTGTTAATATTAAAGCAAGCAAAGTAAAAAATTCGTTTACGACTGTATATTCCTATATCCCATTCTTACACTGCTTATTAAAAATGAGCTGAAAAATTTTTTTTCCTTAAAGCATCATTTCTGCAACTTCCTCTCAAATAATTTAGCAAGTAATGCTGTTACACACACACAGACACACACTCTCACACACACACAATGAAGAAATAAAGGAAATATAGCAAAATGTTGACAATTTGTGAATCTGGGTAAAAGGTATATAGGTATTCGTTATACTACTCCCAACTCTTCTGTTGGTTTGACAAAAAGTTGAGAGCATGTAGCTACTTTGGCAGTTTCTTATAAAGTTACACATATACTTACCCCATATCTAGCCCTCCTAGGTATTTATCCGAGAGAAATGAAAATAAAGGCCTACACATGAATGCTTTTATAGCAGCTTTATTTATAATTGCTAAAAACTGGAGGACTGTCCAATTGCTGAATGAATGGATAATGGATATATGGTACATCCATAGAGTGGGATATTACTAAGCAGTAAAAGAGATGAATTACTACTGATCAGCAGCAACATGGATGGATGAATCTCAAAAGCACTATGAAAAGTAAAAAGTCAGACAAAGAAGGCTGACATTATTATTCCACTTATATGACATTCTGGAAAAACAAAACCTATATGGAAATCAGATCAGTAGTTGCTTTGAGTTGGGAATAAGGGAATTGACTAAAAAAGAGTACATGAGAACTTTTTGGGGTGCTGAAATATTCTGTATTTTGAGTGGGGTGGCAGTTACACAAACATTTGTCAAAAGTATTAGAAATAGATATGCAAAAAGGGTGAATTTTTTATATGTAAATTCTGCCTTAATTAATTTTAAGAAAGAGCGAAAACAGAAATTCAGCTTTTACTCAGTACATTACTTTGCTAGCCCCATTAGTTAACCTAAATTAAATGTCCCTAAATTAAATGTCCCCAATCAGATGTTTGCCAAGTGCTTTTCCTGACATTCATAGTAAAAAAACGATATAGCCTTCAAATATAAAATGAAATTTGTCTATAGGTTGTATGTACATGGAAGCAGACTGTTAATATTAAAGCAGATTGTTAATATTAAAGTACCTGGAAGCAGACTGTTAATATTAAAGCAAGCAAAGTAAAAAATTGAAGACAAAGTTACAAATAATATACAGTTTGACAGAAAAAGAAACCAATACCTCTTTGTCCTTATAAGTCAATAAACTCTAGTAACGTAGACCTTCACTAAGATACAATGAGAAAACTGTTTATGAAAACACCGTTTACTCTCCTATTTCTCAAATTCACCCCAAATACCAAAACATTTAAAACCAAAAAGCTTCCTAGACTCATCTCAATCCATATAATTTCCAAAACACAAAATGTTTTGAAAAACATCAAATTTCACAAATTTGTAAGGTCTTTTACTTTCTAGAGATGGCCACAAATTTGGTCTAACTTTTCTGGCAACTACTTTTAAAAAAATAACATGGATAAAACATAAATGAAAACAAACCAATTGCTTGGAAGAAGCACGACTATTCTTAGTACTTATATTTTGTTATATACAACAATCTCATTATAGTTTTATCTGTAAAGTGCAGTCTACCTTTAATATCTACTTTTAAAAGAAAATATATAGAATAATATAGTGCCAGAAACTGCATTGGACAAGTTTCTAGGACATCTTACTACTAATCTCAACTCTGCCTCTAAGTATGTAAACTTAAAGAATTTCACTTGGATGTCAATTTCAGTATTTGGTAAACAGACTGAAATAAGTATGTATCAAGTTATCTTCCATCTTTAATATTCTACGACCTAAAAGAGAAGTAATCCCTCTCATATACTCTAGCAACATGCTTGCAATTTAAAGAGGCTTGAGTAAAACTGATTCTGATGGTTTTGGAAACAAGATTACACACTATGGGCAGTGAACACAAAATGCCTTACTGTTGAACTATACTCTTGAAATTTACTGGATTTCGTTAACCAGTGTCAACCATAAAAACAAAACAAAACAAAAACTTCTTAGGAAAAAATAATCTAAATAAAATAAAACAGGATTATAAAAACATATATGAGTGGTTCAGAAATTTGCATAACTTGGTCAATTCAAATTAGTCTTTCCAGTTCAGATTATGTCCCCCTTAGTCTATTTAATCTGACCAGATAATTTGCACCTTTCTCCATCTGGGAGGAAGAAAATATATACATATAACCTTTAGTAACTCTTACTTAAATTCCATAATTCCTCCTTTACTTTAGATACAGACATTATTTGGTCATTTTCTTTTTTACAAACTGATTTTGCAAAGAGTTTTACAGCTGTAAAACTGAGTCTCTTCCTATCCTGTTTTAATCTTAAATCATCCTTCCTTAAAGTAATTAAAGATTACTTTAATGACTTCATTTCTTCTTTGATTTGTTAAATTTTAAACTCTTTTCTTTTTAGTCTACTTTAAATGCTACTGCTAAATTATTTCTTCACAGATCACACTTTCCAAATATGTTAAATTACTTTTCTTATTTAAATAAAGTTTTTCTTGCCTTCCCACATTCAAGGCTCTTTCCCATTTCCACACTTCTCAGGCACAGATTTTTAGTGTTGTATGACCTTGGAAAATCAATTTATGTCACTTTATTTTAATCCATAAAATGTGCATAATGCCACTTATTCTATGTAAAAGGTTGTTATAAGGATGGAAAAAAGTGGGTAAGTCTTGAAAGATCTAAAACTCTATTACTGGGAAGGCCATATAAATGACAGTTTGATTTCTGCTTCATTATCTCTCACAACTGTTATTAGCATTCTCCACAGACTGGCACGATAAAAGGCCACTCTTTCAAATAACGACTTGAAATGATAATTCTCAACTTAAAATCTCTAGCGATATACAGATAACATTTTGATAACATCAAAACACAGCTTTATTTTTATTCCAACTTAATACAAACAAAATATTTTCAATAAAGGAAACAAATAGTTATTTTGAAATTTACGGTAAAATAATATTTGAGGCCTTTAATCACTGATAAATATACACTTTACCTTTCTTCCAATCTGCAATCCTGGAGTATCTGCTTCTACAATAAATCCAGTAAAGGCTTTACTAGCAGGAGCCTTAGGATCCAGATCAGAACGAGCCAATAAAAAATACCTAAAAATATATATATATACACACACACACACATACATGATGATAATGATATTAACAGATAATACATGGTGATTGCTATCTCAGTTAACCCTCCCAACAATCCCAATTATTATTACCCTCTTTTCCAGATGAAGAAATGAAGAATCACAGAGGTTTAAAAGCTTGCCTAAGTCACATAGCTATGATGTGGTGGAACTAGTATTTCAACCCAGGTCTACTTCTTAATTAATATGGTATTTAATTTTTGGTAATATGAGTTGCAAGTAAAAATTCCTTGTATCAAGACACTACAATATAAAAAGAAAGCATGTGCATGTTGAAACTGACACCTTCCCAAAACTAGTTCAATTCTTTAAGGGATAAGCTATCTGGAAAAGAAGGGCAAACAGGACTGACTGCCTGTGAAAAGGAATTATATGACGTAGAGACTGCTATGCTCCGACTACTGACCTCTTTGTGTAGTGAAATCAGTACTTTTGTTATAGCTGAATGCTTATGAGTATTTTTTGAGTTTTCCCTCCATAAGAATTTGTCCCAGAAAGATTTTTAAATGAAACAGCAGGAAAAAAGCCAGAACACCCAAATAGCCATGTATCCCATATTCTAAATACCCTGGTATAGGAGAATTTTCTAAAAATTCCTTAAGAAATTTTATTTTCTATGTTTAAAACTAATAAGTTATCATATACTCTATAATTTTATTTAAGAGTAAAAATATAGTAAAAATTGTTTAGTTTCATATATTACCTAAACAGGATTATACACTATGGGCAGTGAACATGAAGAGTTGTACTTAATAAGTTCTTAAAATAATGAAAACTTCTAATTACATTGTTAGATTTCTCTCAACATGTTCAATTTCAATTGTTTCTTCTCTTTTTTCTTACTTGCTGACATTATGATACCCTACTGAGAGATAATGATATCCATAATACTGGACCCTCACAAAGGGATTGATAGACACATTTAAAATAAAACAACTTCCTGATAGGCTCATTCCCAGGAATAATGCTTTACTTGCCAGAAAACTGGACTGCAAAGCATACAGATGTATTGAATCAGAATTTCTGCAGATGAAGAAAGAGAGCCCACTCAGTTCATTATTCCAATCACCAGAAAGTTCTTCTAGAAAGTCTCTATTTATATACCTGTAGTGATGGATAAATACCTTATTTCCATGACAACTTAATATGTACTGGACAGCACTGCTGAAAAACTTGTCCTTATGTTGAGCTATATTCTACATTTGTCTAACTTCTACTGACTAATTCTAAATTGGCCTGAAGCAAATGTGCAGACCTGCTCTTCTGATATTATTTCAAAAATTTCAAAATTCTTCTAAAATAACCAAACCTAATTCCTATCGTCTTCACAGGACATGTTTTCTAGGTTTCTCCTAATTGAGACACTTACTTGATTCTGGATTTATTCCATTTTGTCAATGCATGTCCTAAAGTGTTGCCCAGAACTGTTACCATTTTTCAAACCCTCTTGTTGATGCTATACTTGTTACTTCAGCATGATATTACATTAGCTTCTTAAAGGCATATATATAACACTGTTGCTTTCAATTGAACCCACAGTTATTAAATAAACTTTCATCTTTCTTTCTACAAATAATGCTATCAAATATGTTATTCTTCAACATTTTAGCTTTATACACGTGATTTTATGATCTTCTGTTGAACATCATGTCATTATTTTTGGACCTACCTATTTGGAACTTTTAGATTTTATTAAAGTAAAATTCTGTCTTCTCTAAAAGATAATCTAAGTTTTAAGACAGCCATTGCTTATTGCTCAGAATAAGAGAAATGTACTTTATCAATGGTTTTCTTTTTTCCTTAGTCTTAAGGGAATGGCTGCAAGGAGGTGCTGGTGTAATATATGGAGAAAGGAGCTAGTAAGCCAGGTAGATGGGAATTCTAGCTTTCCTAATCAGATTCAACCGTAGCCGGTGTTTTAATTTTATTTTACAGATTAAACTTTGGGTTAATTTGAAGAAATAGTTCAGGGCTTAAAAATAGATTTTTGAAATCACTGAGCTATTTATAATCTTTTATGGACCTTCTAGCTCCATGAATAAAACTTATCTTAATTATGGTAGTTTCATAATAAAGAAAAAGATAGAGGACAGATTCTGAATACAAAGTAATTAAGAGGGAAAATACAGAGATGTTTTAAAAAAACATACCAATTAGCTTGTCCTCCATTGGTTATCCACATCTTCTGACCATTAATAATATATTCATCTCCTTTCTTTTCTGCTTTGGTCTTTATACCAGTTACATCAGAGCCTGCTCCAGGTTCTGTTACACAGCAGGCCTGGAATATATGGAAACAAGAGAAAAAAATTAAAATTAAGAACACAGAATCAGGAGGGTATTTTATTTTTTAAGCTAGTATTTTAAATATTTTAAAATACCTAAAAAAAAGATTCTTGGAAAATCAAATAGGTTGCTCAAATGTAAAAACATTTTATCTTATAATTTAAACAAGATGTAGGAAACCAAGCCATATCAAAAATGAAAATGTTAGATATCTCCAAGTTAAATTCAATTTAATTTAATTGAATGTATTCATTTAGTCAAACATATATTGAGTAGTATCTACTACTTACCAGGTTATGAACTTGATAATGGAAAAACCAGAGATGAAAGACATCTTGTCTTCAAGGTTTTCACAGTGTTAACAGTGGAGATGAATACTATATTGTAATTATATATCTAAGTATTAAAGTAATACACAATAGGCTTGAGAAATTAGCTTAGCTTTAGAGTGTCAGGAAAAGCTTCAGAGATGACGCTTAAATTAAGTCTCAAAAAGAAAAAGGAATTCTTTGGGGGCAAGGAAAAGGAGAAATGTGTATTCTAGGCAGAATAACACATGCAATGATACCGAGATAAAAAGCAAGGGTTACGCAGTGTCTGTAATACAAAAGTAGCAGAGATCTATAACATGTAAACTCTGTGCTTAGAAGAGAATGGAAGGAAATGAGTCTGGAAAGAAAGGAAAGAGATGATAACGAACACTTTATATCATACAAGAAGTTAAAATTTTATCTGATGAAAACACAGGAATCTCTTTTGGCTCTTAAACAGAGTGATAAGATGTAAGCAGGTATTGGATAAAGGGGGTGGTGAAAGGCAAGCATTAGGTAGTTGAAGTTCATTCAAATTTATTAAGTGACAGGTACTGTGGATACAAGGCCCAAAGACACAAGTTGTTTGTCCTTAAGGTATTTGTAGTCCAAAGAGAGAAATCTTAACAGTTCATTTTAATTCAAAATAGGGTACATAGGGAGATTAGAAATGATTATTTAGACCTGTACAAAGGTAGGAGGGGGATGAATGGTAAAAGAGGGTGAAAAGAATAATAATAAGTAAAACTCACTGGAAGAGATAAGTCTTGAAGTACAAATAAGAGAGGCAAGCAGATCTAAGGCACAGAAGAATGAAACAGCAGTAGTACAGGGGAAAGAACTGGAAACTCCAGTTCAGTACTAGAATGTAAAGTGTGAAACTGAAAGCCATGAAAAGAGGCTAAAAAGGCAGGAAGGGACCTGGTCATGGAGGCTGAGATATATGCCATGCGAAGAAGGGTATACTTTTATGCATTTGATAAATTTATTGAGCACTTACTATTGTGCCATGGAACCTTAAGGAACTCAGAATGCCCTAGACTGGAAAACTGAGGAATATATGCATTTTTCTGAGCAAGTCAGATTCTAAAATGGGTGTATAAACTAAAAAGTATGTTAGGTACAACTGCCATTGATGAAATGGAACCACGTTTTTTGGTTTTGTTTTTTGGTAAATCCAGGAGAGAGATACAGTTAGATTTACATTTTAGATAGTTAATTATTACAAAAGTATAAAAGATAGATTTAAGGGGGCAGGGGGAATAACGACTTCTCACTATCTTCTAGGTGCTATTCTAAGTACTTGACTCATTTAAATCTCACAATAATCCCTATCACTAGGCAACCCATCTCACAAATAAAGAAAGTGAGGCACAGTGAGGTTAAGTAATTTGTGCTAGTAAGTGGCAGAAGTACTTATAGAAAATTAGACTTAGAGACACAAATTAGGAAGCTTTGCAGTAGCATATCTAAGAAATAAAGAACGCTTTAACTAAGACAAGCAAGATAAAGGAAGAGAAGATGGAGTTGAGAATTGTGGTGTGAAATTCACAGGATGTGATGACTAAATAGGATGTTGGAGCACTAAAGATGTGATGACTCAATTTTTTTAGTTTAGGCAACTTCCAATTTAAGATAATCTTGAATAGAAGGAGTTCTGAAGAATGGGAAGAAAATAATTTGGTTTGGGATGCATTTATTTAAAGTATTTAAGTCTAGCCAAGAAGAAATGTCCTAAAAGACAAGTGCATATAGGAGGGTAAAACTCAAGGGAAAAGTCAGGGCTGAAACTAGAGTGTTAATAGACTAATTAATGAATACTTGAAAACTTAACACCAGATAGGGAAACTTATTTGGTAATTTAAGTGAAGAGTAAGTTATATAAATCAATAGTGCCAATGCTATAAAAGTATAGTATCTAAAATAAGAGTGATGCAACCATCCTACTCTTATACTCACCAGACTATTCTAGAGTACTGTATTTAGCTCTAGAATATTTATCAGTCAGTGATTATGAAAATGATAATGGGACTTTACTGTGTTATATGAAGAAAAAGGGGGAAAAAATGGTGTAAATAGATTAGAAAAGATAAGATCTGCAAGATTCAAATATACAAAGGGCTATATATAGCCAAAGGAGAGAATTTAAACTGATAGGAGAAAACTATAGTGAAATCATTCGCACTTTTATTGAAGACCTATTATGGTGTGAGGTGGTGAAATTATAAGTAGAAATGGCAGTCCTTTTCTTCAGGAGCATGGAATCTAGCATAACTTTCTAATGGCCAAGGCTCCCAAATAGAGCTGCTTCAGGAGGTTGTGACTCCCAGGCACGAAACATGAGTAGATGGCCTTCTCACAGGGTGCTATAGAAGGGCTTCAAGTGTCATAGGAGTTAAGTAAATTACTCTCCTACCTAGAGATTCAAAGATGTTTTTAGCATCACAACAAAAAAAAGGTATTGTACAAATGAACTATCCAAAAAAGATAATGCTTTAAAGTACCAACATTTTATTTTAACCATCTTTGGGAATTTTTTTCCTGAGATATGTTATGACGCATTTCTCTGTTTTATAATAAGGCAAAGTTTTTGGAGCCTATGAAGTATGTGAGCCTGTGTGGTTCTATATAAAATGTCTTGTCATGGCTGGTTCTTTAGAGATGTTATTTAATTCTTTCTTAATAATTAAAATTAATTTCATAATACTCTTTATAACAGAAGCCATCTTTTTTGTTACCACTGCAACTTGTTCTCTTTCTTATAACACTACATGTTATTAAAAAGAGTATTATAGTCATTTATGTATTTTTCCCTGAGCTGTATCAGAGCTTCCATTTGGTGTGCCTAGTGACTATTAATAAGTGTTAAATAAAGTAAATATTGCTAGCGTTTGTCATCCTCACTATTCTATTTTGACTTACAACACCTAAATACTGCCATTCAAACTAGAAAATCAAGCTAATTAATAACATTTTTTATATATAATTATTTATTTATGAAGCATTATTTATTTACTTATTTTGCATAATTCTATGCATAATAAGTTAATACAGTCTGGATAGGGATCTAAGGGTCTACCAGACTGTTAAATTCTTGTGAGCAGGAGCCCCAGTTTTCTTCATTATTTTATTCCCAATCTACCTGGTACACAGTATTCAAATATTTGAATGAATGAATACAGCATTATAACTTTGTTAGTAATAATACTACCACCTTATATTTGTATAGTTTACAAAGCAATTTTGCATTTATTCTCTATTAAAAATTTTTTTTTGCCTTATACTCTAAAGGGAATTGAGGTAGTTTGTATAATACATGGTTTTTTAAAAAAAATCAGGGTGAAGTGAAAAGATAGAACCAGAAAGAAGAAGAACACACTACATTTTCAGTTCAAATAATTACTAATGATGGACTATAAAACTGGCTCTATGCTTCTTACCAAAACAAAAAATACTAGTTATTACCTTAGGAGTATTACCTTAAGTGCCCTTAAGCTAAAGTCTGGCATATAGCAGGCAACTCAGATACTGAATAAAGTAATGAATGAATGGATAGCAATTTAAGAGAAACTAAGTTTCCCAAGGTCATTAGGTATGGAAGAAATTTCTCTAATATATTTTTGCAAAAGGGACACTGTGAAGATATTCTTATAAAAACATAAACTTTTAGTCATATCTTTACTAAAGTAAAGCCCTTTTAGATATTATACTCCCTATTTTCAGAAGAGACTTTGAGCATAAGTGACTTTGTAAGATCACATTGCTATAATATGGCTGAGCCAAAACCTGAAGCCAGGTCTTGGGATCCCAAGTTCAGTGTTGTTTCAGTTACAGGCCAGCTACTTCCTAGCTCCATTAAAAATGCAAAGTTTCGTTACAAGAATTTTTTTCACCATTATTAGCCTTTTACAGTGACTTCTAGGTTCTGAGACTGTTTGGTCAAAAGAGTTCACTCAATGTCTTGTCCATAAATTCAACAAGTAAATCAATATCTTTTCAGTCACATTTATTTCTCATTAGTTCAAAATACTTCTAGTTCAAATATCTACTGTTGTATATTCAATCTGAACTTCTGACACAACCACTCAGTTCTTGAACTGCAGGGTGCTCCATCAAATAGATATTTCCCCCCCTGGAAATAAGCTAGGAGATCATTATGACACTTTTCTAGTACCCCAGAAACATCATAAGTAGGTATCTTTCTTCTGGAAATAAATAAGATGACTAAGATTATTATGATTATTTTCTTGGCATCCCCGAAACATCAATGTACGTAAACACATTGTTAACTTTTGTCTTAATGTGTTATAGCCCAATGTATAAATTTAGATTGAAAGAAAGAGCACTTTGTTTCTTTCTTAAAATGCAAAATAAAGCAGCAGCTGCAAATACTCACACTTATTAATGGCTCCTCAGTCATCCTCCCCAAATACTTCTTTTGTTGTTGATCATTTCCAGCAATAACAACAGGAATTTGCTACCAAAGAAAAGTGACATTAAAAAAAAAAGATATTTGTATCAGATAGGTAAATCCAAAGATACAATAATTCTTTAAAAAGAGAAGTATTTTCCCCCAATGGGTGAGTCTAAAGAACGGCCCTTTATTCTGCCTCTATATTAGAGAGCTAAAATAATGAGGAAATAAATCTGCTAATCTAAGCATTTTCATAAAATTAAGTTACATAGGACTTGATATACAATGTGTAAAACTCTACTTTAGTAAAATGCATAAATGAATTGAATTTAAGATAAATAAAGTGGTGTATATGATCAGGCCTCCTAAGAACTGCTCAGTAAATTTCAGCACTGTTAACAGTGGCAGCAAGCCATCCAGATCCTTCTCCTGAATGCTGGTTTTTGGCCTTGCCCTTGCCTAAGAATTTTCAATGAAGCAGCAGCCAAAGTATATAGTTTCCCCACAAGGACAGGTAGAACTCCAAGTATTGGGCACAAATTCAGAATCCTCAACTCTTGAAATAAGAAATCCAGGCTTCACTGCAGAATCTTGTGTTCCTTTTTAAAAAAAAAACTGTTCCACCAACTAACCTAACCTACTAGTACTGTCTCATTAAAAACAGTTTAAGCAATTAATTTTCTAAGTAACTTACCCCCAAATAACTTCCATAAATAGCAGTGTGTACTCCTGTACATCCATAAGCCAATTCTTCAGAAATTATACAGGCATCAAAATTTCCAAGTCCAAGACCTCCTATGTTATCAAAATGTTTTCAGAGTCCATTATAATATGTAGTACATCTCAAATGAAAATAATTAAAATAGTTCACCTAATTGGTTTTATTTTTTAGGGAGTCTTTAAATGTATGAAATGAATTTTTTTTTTTTGGTCTTTATTATTTTTGATTGTTTTTATAAATTCCTTATATATTTTGGAAATTAACTTTTTTGACATTCAATATTAGCTTCAGGTGTCTAGCACAGTGGTTACAGCATAGTGGTTACATATAATTTACAAAATGATTCCCTGCATTATACTAGTACCCACATTGCACTATATAGTTATTAAGATATTGACTATATTCCCTATGCTGTACTTCACACCCTCATGACTATTTTGTAACTACTAATTTGTACTTCTTAATCCCTTCACCTTTTTCACCCAGCCCCCCAACCACCCTCCCATCTGGCAATCATCAGTTTGTTTGTTTTCTCTATTTATTTTGTTCTTTAGATTCTACGTATAAGTAGGATCTTATGGTATATTTCTTTCTGACTTATTTTTCTTAGCATAATACCCTCCAGATCCATCTATGTTGCTGTAAATGGTAAGATTTTTCTTACAGCCAAGTAATATTCTATTGTATATATATACAACTTCTCTATCCAATCATCTATTGATGAACACTTACAGGTTGTTTCCATATCTTGACTATTGTAAATAGTGCTGCATGAACATAGGGGTACATATATCTTTTCGAATTAGTGTTTTGAATTTCTTTGGAGAAATACGCAGGAAGTGGAATTGCTAGGTCATAAGATAGTCCTATTTTTAATTTTTTGAGGAACCTCCAAACTGTTTTCCACAGTGGCTACCAATGCGCAATTCCATCAACAATGCACAAAGGTTCCCTTTCCTCCACATCCTCGCTAACACTTATCGTTTTTTTTGATTTATTGAAGATAGCCATTTTGACAGGTGTTAGGGAATATCTCATTGTGGTTTTAATTTGCATTTCTCTGATGATTAGTTGATTAGTAACACTGTACATTTTTTCTTAAAAAAGGCCATCTGTATATCCTCTTTGGAGAAATGTCTATTCAGGTCCTTTGACCATTTTTTAATTGGATTATTTGGTTTTTTTGTGTTGAGTTGTATGAGCTCTTCATAGATTTTGGATATTAACCCCTATCAGAGGTATCATTGGTAAATATCTTCTCCCATTCAGTAGGTTGTCTTTTCGTTCTGTTGATGGTTTCCTTTCCGTGCAAAAACGTTTTAGTTTGATATAATTCCATTTACTTTTCCTTTTATTTCCCTTGCCCAAGGAGATATATCAGAAAAAATATCACTAAGAGCAATGTCGGGGAGTTTACTGCCTATGTTTTCTTCTAGGAGTCTTATGGTTTTGGGTCTTACATTTTAAGCCTTTAATCCATTTTGAGATTATTACTGTATATGGTGTAAGAAGGTGGTCCAGTTTCATTTTTTTTGCATGTGTCTGTTCAGTTTTCCCAACACCATTTACTGAATAGACTGTCTTTACCCCATTGTATATTCTTGCCTCCTTTGGATAGATTAAATGACCATTTAGGCATTATTTCTGGAATCTTTATTCCAGAAATTTATTTCTGGAATCTCTATTCTGTTCCATTGATCTGTCTGTTCTTATGCTAGTACCATGCTGTTTTGATTACTATAGCCTTGTAGTATAGTTTTATATCAGGCAGTATGATACATCCAACTTTCTTCTTTCTCAAGATTGCTGTGGTTATTCAGGGTCCTTTACGGTTCCATATTAATTTTAGGATTATTTGTTCCTGTTCTGTGAAAAATGCTATTGGCAGTTTGATAGGATTGCACTGAAATCTGAAGATTGCTTTGGATAGTTCAGACATTTTAACAATTGGAAGTAATTAAAATAGTTTGCCTAATTAATTTTAAAAGGAAATTTGCAAATATAATATCTATAACCTAAGAAACTAAAAATGTGTTTTGGCTAGCACAGTAACAAATTATACTTCTCTAAAATAAGTTTTAAAATTTTCAAAAAAATTCTCTTGGCATTTGTAATCTGGACCTGTCCTCCTGTTTCAGCTTGATTTCGTAAAAACTTGAGTCAGCTCTAAAACTTTGACCCTTTGACCTGAGGAAAGGAATGAAAACCACATAGAAAAAAAAGTCAATATAATTAAAATCAAAGATAGAATTAAAATGCAACAAATCGACCAACTCTAGAGAGAGAAATTACCAAAGTTTAGAATCAAGTTAAGGTTGGAACCTGTTATAAAAAAGGAAAAATGCCTCTAAGTGTTGAGCACAAGGCTTCTAAAAGCAGGCAAATACTGAAGTCTGAAAAAGGAGACAAAGGTAGAAAGGCAGTATTTAATGGTAACAAATATTTGAAAGAATGACTGAATAGAGCTTTATAATTTTTCTTGTTCATAAGCATTCTAGGATTAAAAATGTGAAGGAAGCTTACCACAGTGCTCTGGAATGTGTGTATTCATTAATCCAAGTTCCCAAGCTCTTTTAATTAGGGGGACAGGATACTAAAAGAAAAAGGATTAAAGAAAAAAGCTAGTTATTTTTAAAATCTAATAACCTGATTATGTAATCTTGTAAAAAATATAAAAGATTTTTCTCTCCTTAAAATAGATATACCTACCTTTCCAGTTTTATCATAATCTGCAGCAACTGGGATTATTTCCTCCCTGGCAAATTTACGAGCAGCAGCTTGAAATTCTTTCTGCTGTTCAGTGAATTCTAAGGGGAATTATTTAGAAAACATTAAAGTAGGACAATGACTTGAGGAAAAAAGTCCTATGGAATCAGTATGTGGAGATTTATACTTATAATGGAGATTTTTAACCCTTGATTAACCAGAAACTCAAAGACAACAATATACTACTTTGGAATTAATCAAGATTTCAGTGTCCAACATAAATAAATCTATGCCAAAGGAGGTAGGTAAAATTTCTAGCTTTACAAATAAGTAATAGATATAAACTTGAGTTTTTCTCTTCTACTTGGTAAGGTCAAAAAAATTTTTTTAACTTATAACTAGTTCCTAAGCAGATTTATCAAATGTTTACTAACACTGAAATGAAACTATATAAGACATGTTCTGATCTCAAGAATTAATCCAACTAGGGAGATGGAATATGCTCCATGACCATAAACCAATAAAACTAGTTCTAGGATATCACATAAGAATATCAATACCATAATTTCAATTTTATTCCTCCTTTAAATTCAGAATTTTAAATTTATAAATTAGCAAAAATGAACTGGTAAAAAGTGATGGGAAAGTTTCTCAAAAAGTAATAACATAAAACTCTGCCGTAATGCTATAATAAGTGGTGTCCAAACAATTCCGTTACATAAAATATGGGGTTATTATAAAATTAATGAAATAAATATGGTGGCTGGATTGGGACAGGAGTCAATGACTACTGAATTTTTTCAAATCTACACTATCACAGAGCTTTAATGTAGATGCATCCAACCTCAAAGGACAAGCAAAATTTAAAAGAGGTATAGAGAAGTTTAGGCAAGAAGAATACGAACAAAAATAAAGATGTAGGAATGACCAAGAATGTTTAAGACTATACTAATAATTTTTATAGGGATGTAAGATATAAAATGTAAGATATGAGAATTTTGGTGTTAAATTTTATAGTCTACAATCAAATCTCATTTTATAGAGAAAGAAACAAAGGCCCGAACTGAGAGAATGACAGCCCCATAGATTTAAAATGAATTAGCAGTAAAAATATTTTTAGAGTTTCAGTTCAGCATTCTCCCCCTTACAACTTTATTTCTAAAATTGGTGCCAGTCAATATCAAGGTAATGAGTGGGTAAAAGGTAGGGAAGGCAGGGATATAGTTTATATTATTTATTGAGAACCTACTTTGATCCAGCCACTATGTGCCAGGAACTTTACATATATGATTTAATCTTCAAATAAATCCTGTGTAGTTATTGTCTCCATTTCATAGATAAAGAACCGAACACAACTGGTCATAGGTGTTATCCCTATTCTTTTATTTGAGTTTCACAATCTCTCTCCTAAATACTTGTATCTATCTCATCCTCTGTCACTCAGCAAATCACTATAGATTTCTCCTGCTAGGCTATTATAATTAAGTATGAATCTATATGTGACAAAGCAAAACTAGAGAGCAGTTATACCAAACCTATGCTAATATCCAAATAAGGAATTAAGAAGACCCAGTGCCCCAAACTGCTATCCTCACATTGCTTGAGAATCTTCATTTAATTCCGTTTAAGAAAAACTTTATGAAGAAGCAAACGATCTTAAAAAATAACATAAAAAACAAAACCCTAGAGAGCTATAAGTTTGTCATTTGTATCTGGGTGTGAGTTAATTATCTCAGCTGCCTTTTAACTATTTTGAGACCAAGTGAACTGAGAAAATGGATTTTTAACTAAAAAAAAAAAAAAAAACCAATAGGTAATAATTTTGAAGAAGCAGTTAAGAGGCAAAGGATGCCAAAGATAGGGATTTATATACATATATTTTTTTTACCCAGGATCTTCATTTTAAAGAAGGGGAAGATAAATCATAGTCCTGTTCCCTCTGGCAGCACAGGGCTCCCTGATCTCAGAACATCTACTAGCACCAAAATTGCAATTCAGATATGTTATGATCAAAACAGGCTTTGGCTTATTAGCAGGCACCTAGCATTGTTTACCTAATAAGTGTTTAAGAAGTATTTGTTGCATTTGCATTCAAATTTCTAAGTTGAATACTATTCATGTGTATCAATAAATCTGTTATTTATTTTGGGCTACATACTTAGAAAGAAGGGTAGAAATATATATGTATGCTAGTCACACAGATCTACATGTAGGGTAATTATGCTGAAGAAGAAAACGAGATCAGTAAGAATAGGGGTGACTAACTGTGAACAATTTGTGGAGGGTGACTGATTCTATTCATTGACAGACATTACTAAGTTTGTTGGTAAATATTTTCCAGACAAATATATATATACAACTGCACATAACATATAAGTTTAAAGTCAAAAGACAGAACAAAAAATATACCAAAATTAAATCCTGATCGTGGTTCACGTTGTAGGGAAGCTTTCATATGTTGTGATCTCCAGGCAAAATGAGAAAGATTTCTCAGGACCTGTAGAGAACAATTTATTAAAATAAACTTGATTAAATTAAACATTAACCAAGAGAATGCTGATTATTATGAGTACAGCAACTTGTTTGAGCATACTCAAGAGCATAATTTTTAAAGTCATTAAATGCTTTCAACTATTATTTGATTTCTATGTTAAATAAGACAATTACCAGGTATCTGAACACCTATCATAAAAGAAATGTTTTTTAAGCAATGAAAATAAAACTAATCAGTAGTATTCGCACTACTATGGTGGAGTATTTCCAAGGCAAATGACAGGAAGAGTAGTAGACTTAGGACCACTATTCTGGAAATCTTACCTACAAGCTCTAGGACATTTGTGATGGAGGAGTTGAGGTGCAGGCAACAATAGGATGGTAGTGTACTGTGTACAAGAGAGTTGCAGAGTCCATGTACTTTGATACCCTGTCCCTGTGAACCTCCCAGGTATGCCTCTGGGAATCTTCCACTTGGAGGATCTCATTTTCTAAGGTATCTCACACTATTTAACAAATTAGCCTCGTTCTATTGTTTCTGCTGTTATCTATACGCATCTTTAAAATGTTCTAAGCCAAGGGTCAGCACACTATGGCAGCTGTCAGTTTCAACAGTTTTGTAAATAAAATTTTATTAGAACACAGCCACATCACATTGTCTAGTGCTGCTTTCACACAGAGTGTGTAGTTGCCACAGGGACCATATGGTCCACAAAGCCAAAAATACTTACTGTCCCTTTACTTTTTTAAGTTTGCCAATTATTCTAAACAATAAACTATTTGTATTAATATCTGAAATACTCATATTTCTCCAAAAGGATATGTTTTAAAATATAACCATATATATACAAATTATTCTTTTGCAATTCATTTTTATACTCATGACAGTTTAATGTACACAAAAGTAACCACTTGGATTTCTTAAAATTACCAAACTGAAAAACATATTGGAACTCCTGAGTAAATGAGGACTACCATAATTACATAAATTATACTTCAGAAGATTTTGATGGAACTACCCCCAGGCAATGCTAATAAGTTAGGCACTGAAAGAAAAAGAGAAAATGAACAAATATGTTAAAAGATCAAGAATTGAACTTGTTTGTTTTTCAAAATCTATAAAAAGAAACTGTCCACTTTATAGATGACAACTTCAATTTATACAGAGAATCACCTACATTTAAAGTATAACATACTGTCAACTATCTTAAATAGCTCTTTCGAAATAAAAACACATTTTATACTATTCTTCTGAAAAATAATTACAAAGAGTATGAAAAGTCACATTTCTCTGCAAATTTGCATTAATTTTATTTTGGAAGTAAAACATGGTTTCTCTGGTCCTCATCCAGTTGTCAGAACAGAAACCCATTCTTTAGTCACACTGCAAGTATTAATTCAAAGTCTAGGTCAAGCCTAGGATTAGGCACTATTTTTATTCTTATTTTTAATATTAAGAAACTGAGGCTCAGAAAGGTCAAGTAACATTTGCCACAGTCGCTCTGCTACTGGGTGGTAGAATCTTAACGTTTACTATCAAGAGCCCATGCCATCAACCATCTTGCTGTACAGCTCTTTTAATTTCAAGTCTTCTAATTGGTTATTGGATTCTATAAAGAAAATATCTCACGAAAATCAGACCCTTGTATGTGTTCAGACACCACTGCACAAAAATTAAACCTCACAAAAAAAAGGTTAAATGGTCTGCTGAAAGACTGTAAATGGAGTATATTAGTGGACTTAAAATAATTTACAAAAAGTTTACATGATTTTTCAGGAAAACATTATATAAAACAAAGTACAAAAGTAGATACAGCCAGAGAACAATGCCCATTAACGTGTTATGTAATAAGGTTAGCCAGAGAGGTGGAGTAGTAGACACAGTACACTACTTGGACTTAGAATTGCTGCATTTCGGTTTAGACTTCACAATATTTTTAAGACCTTGGACCAGTTACAAAATTCTCGTAGCTTCTTTTTAAAACTGGAAAATGGGGCTAATCTTAATTCACCGAGATGATTAAGATGAGATGTCTTGGAAGCATTGTGACGTGTAAGTACTGGCTTTATTCCTTTGGGTTTTCTGCCCGGAACAGAATTCCAAATCTCCAGACAGCAATTTTAATCAAGCATCAACTTTGCAATAACAACATAATTGTAATTAAACACTCTTGCATATTCCTTAGGAATATAATAAGTCATAGTTTTACAGGCATGTCAAAGAAGAAATACAAGGGTATACGTTTTCCGGATTGGGCTTTTGTATATCCTTTCTTGAAAAGACTGGGAAATCTTTTTTTTGTTGTCAGTTAAATTTTAAATACCCTAATTTCCGCCTTCAAAGCCCATCAACTTTATATAGCAGTGACGAATATGGGCCAACGACACATTAGAATTATTCTAAATTCTAAAACTGCTACTTTTTTGGTCAAGGACATAACTTTCAACTCAGTTATAAATGGCATCTAAATGGCAGTCTTGTGAGAACGTATCAATATTTAATGACTGAGACAATTTAGAATCTGTGCGACACAATACTAAAACATTTAGACAAGCTTCAAGGAAAATTCTGCGGTCAGTTGTTCCTTTTTCCTTCATAAATATACGTAACGTAGAAGCATCGTTCATATTGCAAAACCAAAAATGCCTCAACTTTATTAAGTATCTCAAGGAGCAGCTGCTCCATTTTCTTTTTCCTGCGACTTCTTCGCAGGCATCCAAGTCAAGACTATCTTAATTCTGCACTTTCTAGTACACACCAATTGCAAAATGACATTTAAGATTTCCTTTTGGGCTGGGGCTATAGCGTCGGTACACCATTTTCTCGAAGAGATACTATGCCAGTTAGCAAAAACAGGGCCATGGTTCTCAGACTCACTTAGGTAAACGGTGGGATTCCCGGGGGGAAATATCTGGAAGGTTCCCTAGCCAGAGAAATAAGTTATTCTAAAAAGTTTACGCCACAGTGTAGGAGGAGGCCCTTGCCAAGAGGATACGGGAAAGTCAAAACCCAGGATACACTGTCTCACTGTGAGAGGAGGGGGTGAGCGTGAAAGCAGGATCAAGGTCTGGAATCCCTGTTCGCAGCCTACGGGAGAGCCATGGCGTTCCGTCTATGCTCCATCCCTTAAGCACTCCAACCTCCCCAGCCCCACCCAGCCTTGTTCTCCCTTTCACCCTGCAGCTTCGCATAAACAACGCAGCCATGTTGACTCGAAGTCCGGCTACGAATTCTCTCGCACACCAGCCAATGCCAAGACGGGGACTCTTCGGATGCAGGAGACTAAGAGACTCGCCTAAATCTCGCTGCCGAGACGGACGTGGGCTGGCCAGGGCGATGACGGAGTAGCAGGAAAACAGACTGGGAGGAGACTGCGTGCGCAGCTTAGCCTACCGCGTGCTCCGGCAGTGACCTCGCCTGCGCTGTCTACGCGACTTTGAGAAGGGATTTAACGTGCTCCGAGGGTCAGACGTGTCCCGACAGGTGGTTCCCGAAAAGGCTTCGCATTCACTGGTCCACTGAGTTTAGACAACGCGTCAACCTAGGGGAAGTTGAGGCTTACAGTGGTGCGAGGAAGGAGCCCGGAAAGCGGAACGGCAACGGGGCGCGGGAGCTGGGTGGGCGAGCGGGTTGGCGCGGGGGCAGGCCAGGAATCTAGGTGAAAGGGCACCGCCTCCGGTGGAATTTTAGAGGAAAAGCTTCTCCTTGGGTTTCAACGGTGACCTTAACTCGGACAAACCTGTCAAACCTTAGTCATTTATGCTTTAAGGATTCAAAGTATACTCTCAAACGCTGGACCTAAGGCAAAAGGATGTTTTGTTTTTCAGAAAATTTACACAAGCAGGGGATTTTAATCAGATAAATGCAACCTTTCCAAATGTTACCAAGAATGTTTAATTTGCTACTGCCCACGTGAGTGGATGTGGAATCTGTCCTTTGAAGTAAGGGTGCAAGATGAACCCATCTAACTAAAACTCCTAGCTCAGCCAATGAATGTTGTAAGTGAATGCCTGAAGAATTCTGCTTAGTTACCCTCTCTTCCAGTTAGACTCTGAGTTCTGAGATGGTAACTGTGATGTTACAAAGGTCAAAGATTTGTAAAACTGTACAGGTTTGGGTAGCTCTTTGTGAAAGCTGATGAGAGCCAGGAGTGTAAATGTTGCTGATAATCCCCAGGACTTCATTTTCTTGCTACCATCCAAGTTTAGGCACTCATCACTCACCCCTAAATCTTACTAAATAAACTTTTTTTTTTTTTTTTGCCTACTAAAGGCCGGCCATAATCTCATTCTGATTTAGCTGTTTAATTCCTGTATTCTGTTATTGTACCCCTCTACAAGAACCTTCCACTTTGTGCTCTGGGAATTTATAATGTATTTATTCAGACTGAGTACAAGGCAGAATGTTAAGTACTAACCTCATAGTGAAAAGTACCAGGAAAATTCAGAAAAGAGAACTTAGTTTGCTCTGTAATCAGCAAGAAAGCCTTCAAAGAGATAAGTAAAACACAAAATGGACTGCTAAAGATGGGTAGGGTTTGGCTGTGCATGTCTTTTTTCAAATTTCTTATTCTGAACATTTTAAACATAGAAAAAATGAACAAAAAAAATAGTCACGCATATGCCCATCACTTGGATTTTTAAAAATGTTCTTGTTTGTGATATTTGTCTTATTTATGTATTTGTATGTACATATGTGTGTGTGGTTATTTTTGTTTATTTTTGTCAGAACCATAAGTTGCAGACATTAAGACACTTGACCTCTAAATACCTTAGCTGTAATCTTCTGTGATGGCATTGTCCTTCATAACCACAAAACTTTTTTCACACCTGAGAAAATTCATCATTCTCTAATATCATCTAATATCTAGTCAATATTTAGATTTCCCAGTTATCGCTCAAATGCCTTTTGTATGTATAGCAGTGTTCTTGAATAATATCATTTTGTTATAATGATGATGATGAGGTGCTGTAGGAACTTAATTCATGTTTATATCAATTAGCCTATGGTAAAATTGGTATTGTTATACATCATTTCGATTAAAGTCGCAGATTCTATTGACAATGTTAACTAAAGACTTAACTGTAGTTTGTTTTTGAACCAGAATCCTATTGATGGTTCCCTATTAAAGCTGGATTTTAACTTTCTTTGGTCTCTTTTTTTTTCTTTTTTTTTTAACCCTTTTTATTATCCCCCTTCCCCGCCCCTGCCAATTCCCCCCCCTCCCCCACCCATGGATGTTGATGTTTCCCTTTTTAAGAACTGGATCTCTGAAGACGAGGCATCCCCTCCCACATGCTCACACTGTGATGGTGGGGGGCGGGGGCGCAGGTGTGAGCCCAGGACCTTCTGTGTGTAAAGCAGACACGTGCTAATCACTGCACAATGGAGCCACCTCATTAGTCTTTTTTAACCTAAAACTTTTACCCCATCCCTTTACTTCCCCGCCCCCATTATTTTGATTTTTTAAAAGAAACCAAGCCAGTTTTCCTGAAGAATGCCCTCATTCTGAGTTTTCCAATTATATTTATTTTGCTTCTAGACCTTGTATTTTCTATAAACTGCAAGTTACTAGGTACTTGGGTACCTAGTTTAGATAAAACATATTTGACAAGGATACGTCTTAGGTCATACTGTGTACTTTATATTGTATAACATTTGGAGGTGTTTAATGTCAGATTTGTTCCACTATTATGGGACATAAATTCGATAATTTGGTTAAGGTGCTGACAGGCAGTTTTTTTCTATGGTAAAGGTATATTTTTGCCTTTGCAATTAAGTAATTTATTGAATGACATTGGACATTGTGCCAAATAATCTTTTTCCTAAATTTTGCCCATGGTAGACATGAAATCAGCTCTCAATAAATACCTTTTTAATTGGTCATTGTTCTACAATACTTATTCCATTTTTAAGTGACATAAATATCTCTCCAGAGTTCCTTTGTCTCTTGCCACCTCCATTTAACTCATGGGAATATGACATAAAGACAGGCCATTCTTTTGGTTAGTGGTTCTTAACTTTGGCACTTTGCATAAACAAACATAAGGTTAATCTGAGAATCCTTTGGAGTTAAAAGAAAAAATTTATATGTATGCATACATTCCTGAGGAGAAGATCCTAGCAGGTAGGAAAGTCAGAGTTTATGAGTTCAGATGCCAATAATTTGGTAGATGTTATGGAGTAGTTTAAGGTTTTCTTCTGATTATTTCTGTTTCTCAGTGACATAGGAAGTATGGTTAGTAGCAGAGGATGAGCAAATGTGAAAATTTGAGGACAGAGGGGAAAATTGTGTAAGTACAGAATTTCCTCGTTTGTAAAGACTATTTCCTCGTTCCTCAGGCTTTCTCAGAATGAAGATATGAAGGGATGAGGGAGAGTGCAGAGGTAGTAGGTTCAATGTGTCAACATGCCTAGTGAGTTTTAAAAAATTAATGGAACTGGAACATTGGAGAGAATGCTGAAAGATAGAGGGTAGAAGTTAGGTGGAGGAGTGTAGTTATAGTAAAGGCAAGGTCTAGATTATCATCATGGGAGTAAGTAGGTGAAACAAAGCAGAGAACAAGGTTATTGTAGGAAAGGGAGTCAAAGAACTGAGAGGCCAGCTTAATGGAAGGATCATCTCTGTGGATATTAAAATTATAAAGAATTGTAACTGTAGCTTGGGATAAAGTGACCTTGAGCAGAGTGCAAAACTTAGTAGCATCCATATTTTTTTTTCTCTCAGTTAAATAGTAAAAAATGATAATAGAATGATAAGCTGATATGTTTGGTGTAAAACATCATGATTTTTTTTTCTCTTCCAACTCTTTTCAAATAGTACTCTTATTCTGTTTTGTGTAGTAATAGTGATAGAGCCAAGCATACTACAGTGTTACATGAAAAATGATTTCATAAGGAATCTATGATTATATCTCTGAAAAGCCTCTGGTAGTCGGTTAAGGCTTTGTGAATCTTGGCACTGAAAAACCAGTTTTCTCCTTTAGTGACTGTTCTGTTTTTAGAGCAAAGGTCCTACTTTAAAAATGTCGATTCCACTTTAAGCACTAGATCGAACTATTTGGCTTGGATCCCAAGAACTAATTCTTATGATAAGGTTTTTCTCTCTTAAAGACCTCTTTCTTTTATGTGTGAAGGATTATTCTGTATAATCATTTTTAGGTGAGCCTCATGAGATTTAGTCACATTGGAACCACAGATTGATTTTGTTAACTTTCAGGCTCAGAAATTTGATATGGTTGGTTTTTCCCAAATAAGATCAGAGTGTAAAATCAGATTCTATTTTTGGACCACAATGGGTAAAGGAGCTGAGACTCACCAAAAAGGGCAAAACCAGTCTTTTACTATCTTGTGTACATTCCTCAAGCCAGAAAGTTGAGAGAAACAAGTTAAGGACAAGGGTAGGATTTCCCATCAGATCACATGCATGGTGCTTAGTAAATGTTACCTTCATAGGGAAAAGTCCTTTAGAAACAAGAAGTAGAGCACAACCCAGAGTTCAAGGGAGAGGACTATTCTGGGAAGATTCTAAAAGAAATTGAAAATACCTCAGTCTGAGCAGCAATAGAAATAGAATTCTTACTTCGACCAGAAGTCTGCATAGCATGGTCATATAAGGTGATGACCAACAACAGACCCACAGGCTACCTGTGGGTACTTAGTTTATGACTTAATTTAAGCATGAAATTAATCTACTAGCGATGTCACACACTGGCTGTTCTCATACCCCTTTCTGTGGGAATATGCCCTGCCTAGGGTTTGTGCTCTCTAAAGCATTTGTTTTCTGAACTATGTGTGAACCTTCCTGCCTCTTGCCCATAGCTGTTTGGACCAAGGGATGGGCAGTCTCACCTGCGAGAAGTCAGTTCATGAGCTGATCAGTACTTTTTGCCCATGGCATGGCACAAAGATATTAATTTAGGCAATCAGATTGCCTGTCTTGGGAATCTGAATCAAAGAAATAGAGAAAGACGTATTTGTTGGTGGTGGGCAACTGGCAGTTTACCAATTAGAGAGGTTGTGATGGTCACGTGCAAGTTAAAAGTTACAGAGCAGTGATCCCCAGCCTTTTGGGTACCAGGGACTGGTGCTCCTATGAAAATCTAATGCCTGATGATCTGAGGTGGAGCTGAGGCAGAGATGCTAGCATTGGGGAGCAGCTGCAAATACAATTGAAGCTTGCTTGCTTGCCCCACCGCTTGCCTCT